TTAACTTAAATGATTTTAGCAAATGGCTGCAATATAACAAAGAGTGAAAAATTGAAGGGGGTCTGAATACTTTCCGTACCCACTGTATATTAATAATACACACTGTTCACATCTTCATGCCTTATAGTCGGTCCTTCACATGCGATCTGCTCTCAATAACATCATTTGCTATCATATACATCATTTACTTTTCACGCTCTGAAATCCTTCACCTCCCCCCAGCTCCACCTGTCTAGATCTGCTGTGGTATTTGAGTGATTATCAATCAGCAAGCATTTACATCATTTACTTTTCACGCTCTTGAAACCCTCCACCTCCCACAGCTCCACCTTTCTAGACCTGCTATGGAATTTATGAGTGCCAATTCATGAAGCAAGCATTTACATAATTTACTTTTCACACTCTGAAACCCTCCACCTCCCACAGCTCCACCTGTCTAGATCTACTACGGAGTGTTTATTCATGCAGCAGCAGCAGCATATCTTACATGTTCACAATCGGTCTATTTATTGGCAGTAAAAAGTCCATACTGGCTCATCAGAGCAGCATAGCAGATCTAGTCTCTCAAAGCCCAGTCCATTAACATGCTAAACTATTCAGATAGTTGTTGATATTTGGTTGAAATAATTGTTAAATTGTTACACAGCGTGTATTTTGTAATGCTTATTCCAGTGCAATGCTTTTCCCCATAGACCTCCATTGTATGTGTCACACTAAATACCGTTTTTACTGTTTCTTTTCCGTGTAATTAACAGCACGTCATATATGCTGTTGATAGAGCTGAACTTGTATTGAACTCGGAACGTTTTTTAAAAAGGCGCATTAATTAGTGTAAGAAGTAAAATATGTATATTGCTGATTTGTGACTTCGCCGTGGCACAGCCCCCTCTGGTTTCTGAGTGACTGAATTGAGCGTCAGTGAGGCCCAGTCTGGATGGCTCAGATAAATCCTGAGTAAGTCTGCAGTGAGTCTTGCTGTCTGCACAGAGGTTAAGAACTGCACAGCAGCTCTCAGCAGGCCAAAATACACTCACAGTGATCTACTGCCCGTTTCCTCCAAATTCCTCTTCCCTTCTCTGCCTGGCCCTCCCCAGAGACATGAGAGGACAGAGAGAAAGAGTTATGTATTCAAAAAATGAACTTTATTATGAGGCGAGGAAACCAGAATATCAGCATATAACAATTTACACTACCATTCAAAACTACAGTTTTCAAAAGTTTTTGAAATATTATTTTCATTTAAAATAAATATTTTAATTTTAATATATTTTCAAATGGAATTTATTCCTGTGATGCAAAGCTGAATTTTCAGCATCATTACTCCAGTCTTCAGTGTCACACGATCCTTCAGAAATCATCCTAATATGCTAATTTGCTGCGCAGGAAACATTTCTGATTATTATCAGTGTTGAAAACAGTTGTACTGCTTAATATTTTTGTGAAAATGATTATATATATTTTGTGGAAACAATGATATATAAGTTAAGAAGAACAGCATTTTTTGAAATAAATTGTTTTGTTACACTAAATATCTTTACTGTCACTTTTGATCAATTTAATGCATCTTTGCTAAATAAAAGTATCAATTTCTTTCAAAATACATTTTTGAAAGGCAGCATACATTTCAAGTGTGCATCACACGACTTTTAATATAGCACATACATTGTATGGACCAACAATAAATTAATGACGATATTCATTTTAGGATCAAATATTCCTTAAAAGAAAGGTGAAGAAGAAGATGCAGTTAAAGAGAAATGTAGCTTTTCATCAGTGACACAAGAATTAGTGTGCATTCTTCGAATACTGCTCTCATGTTGTTTAGAGAAAAGGAGATCACAGAACCCGAAATAAGGCATCCAGTTTTGATAAGACGTGATCGCAGCATCCCCACTATTGCCCTTGCTGTCTGGAGCTCCGAGTGCTTTTGGAAACCATCACAAGAAAATACACTCACTCAAACAAACTCACTCGCTTGCATCAGCCTGGTTCTGTTGCAGTGTGTTCCGGTGACCTCACAAACCTTTATTTCTTGCCAATAAAATAAGATTAGAGGGGAGCGAAAAGGGAAATTCCACCTTATTTTCACCAGTGTTTGGCCTAGAAACGGTCTCTTGCATTTTGAAACACTTTATTTACAATTTATTGGAAAGCAATATGGCAACCAATCATAAAGTAATAATGAAACACCACCATCAACTACTTTATTTTCTGAAAATTATTATATTATATTAATGATATGATATGATATTATTATTTAACTATAAATAATTAACTAAATGATTACAACTACAACAACTATTATTCAATCATCATTATTATTGTTAATAATAAATAATAGTGTATTTTGATACGTTTTGTACCTCTAAGAAACTGGCTGACCTTCAAAAACTGCTACTTCAGCCCACAGAAAAGGGACAGACAGCATATGAGTCAAGATCATTTCTCCAAATCCTTCCCATGATACCCAGAAATCTCTGTGACATCACACTATTACATGACTGTGCCAGGCACTCGTCTCGCCAGGCAGGACCACGTGAGAGCTCGCTGAGATACAACACTTCACAACATGTGGTGAAACGATGTTTCCACTGTGCCAAACAAGCCTCCAGTTTCGCTGCTTCCTTAGAAAACAGTTATGAATCAGTGGTGATGATTAGAAAGAGACACCAACACAACACTGCTGACAAATCTGCACTTCTAATCAGTGTAGGAACCAGAAAAATAACATGGCATGAAAAAAACATTGACTTACAAATCAAAATTCTCATTCTTTCAAATTTCTTTCTGTCTTTTGCTTTTTTCCTTCCTATTTTTGGTGTGCCTCTTCCCTTTTTAAAAGCATTGTGCTACTTGAGAAGCTGAGCCGTGAAAGTGAGGTCACATGACTGTGATTTATCTCTTCTGTCCTGGCAGTGATAATCTCTACCAAATGGCGTCTCAGTTGGAACGCGCTACCTGGAATCCTGTCAGCTCACTGACACCCAGCATAAAGAGGTACAGACTCTCTCATATCAACACCTGTGCTTTAAAAATAACCCCAAATTATTTGAATTCCTTTCCTGTAATTTCCTTTCCTTTCAACCCTGTTCATGTTTTCTTTTTTTCTGTCCTTTAAGAACCTTTCCTCTCATTTCCTTTCTCCTTTCCTCTTTGACTGTTCCCATATTTTCCTGTCCTTTCCTTTCCTTTCCTTTCCTTTCCTTTCCTTTCCCTTCCTTTCCTTTCCTTTCCTTTCCTCTTTGACTGTTCCCATGTTTTTGCTTTATCTCCTTTCCTTTCCTTTCCTCTTTGACTGTTTGAAGGTTATAAGCCTTAAACGGACAGTTCACCCCAAAATTCTGTCATCGTTTACTTAACCTCCATTTGTTCTGAACCTCTGTGAGTTTCTTTATTCTGTTGAACACAAAAGAAGATATTGTGAAGAATGTTTGTACCCAAACAGCTGATGGTAACCATTGACTTCCATGGTATTTTTTTCTCTACTATGGAAGTCAATGGCTACCGTCAACTGTTTGATTACTTGAGTGAATGATGACAGAATTTTCATTTTTGGGTGAACTATCCCTTTTAATACCTTAAATGGTACAACATGTGTCTTAATTATCATTTTAAGTGGTATTACATTTGAGGACGGAAAAACAGGATTTGTATTATGGTCTAATGTGATGATTAAACTTAAAATAAGCAATAATTAAATTAATAGGAGCGCTGCATTTTCAAAGTCAAAACGTGCAAATTTTGACAGCCTTGAGGTTTCAGACCAGTTTGCAGTTATTGAATGATGCTCATTTATGTTTTTGAATGAGCTGGGAGTAGTAGGGCACACATTTCAAAATAAAAGTCTCCGTGTATTTCTGGCTTATTCTTCCCTTCCCTTCCCTTCCCTTCCCTTCCCTTCCCTTCCCGTCCCGTCCCGTCCCGTTCCGTCCCATACCTTACAAAACTTCCCTGTCTTGAAGAAGGACAGAAAGACAGCCCATATTATTTTTACACCCCCCTCACCTCTCTTCTCATCTTCTTCTCGTCTTCTCTGCCCTATTCTAATTAGTGTGTGATTTGAAGGAAGGCCTCACAATCCTCTGATGTGACACAGCACTTTGAAACAAAAGTACAGAGTGAAGTAGGAGCATGAATTATGCTGTGGTGACAGCAGAGGAGATAGGAATGGATCCTGCTCAGTCAACCAGTCCAACCCAGATAGAGTGTCTGACCTTGGATGTGTTGAAGGGGCAAGTCCAGGGTAGCATGTTTTTGTGTGTGAGAGAAAGACAGAGAGATGTTGAAACGAAGAGATGTAGACTAGCTGAGGGGCAGGGGGGAAGTCCCAAAGCATTTTGCCAATTTAGTATTGTTTTTCAGTGATTGAGTGAATGTGTGCTTGTCTATAGACAGATGAGTAGGTGACTGGGACGCTGGACAGAATATTTATGCCGGCTGTCCAGATAAAAGATTTGGTATCCACCTTCCTCACCCCCAATGCCATGACAACAGGGTGTTTATCTACTGAACGGATGAATGGTTGGGCTGTGGGAGGACTGGAGCAGCAATGGCTGATTGTGTAGTTTGAGATGTGAAGTGAATCGGACAAAGAAAAAGCTTTATAGGTCTTCAGCTCTTCATCCGTTACTGCCCACACTACAAATCCCCTTCCAGACTAACAGTCCCCCCTTGCTTTCATTTATGACAGTTGAGGCTGTTTTACACAGTTATTTTTAGATATAACAACATCCTTTTGTTAATAAGGAGGAAAAGCTGATTCATATATAGCAGAGCTATGAAGACATGTCCAAATCTGTCTTTTCTGAGAATCTTATATAGGTTATAGGGTCATATTTATGAATAACTCTCTATAGAATGACTCTCTGTCTTTGTGTCCAGTCACAGTGGTGGTTATGAGGCCGAAGCGTCTGCAGGAGCTCCGCTGGTGTACAACTGCAGCACTCAGTATCACATACACACACATGGTGTGTTCAGAGGAGTACAGGTGGGTACACACACTCAAACACAGCGACAAACTCATACACATATCCATTTTACCTGTGCACACACAGACTGGATTCTCACTATAATATAACCATAAAGTGCATTGTAATTAAAGGGATCGTTCACCCAAAAATTTAAATTCTGTCATTAATAATTCATCCCCATGTCGTTCTAACCCCGTAAGCCCTTCGTTCATCTTCGGAACACAATTGAAGATATTTTTGATGAAATCTGAGTGCTTTCTGACCCTGTAGGAGAAGCCACTGAATATAATAATTTCCATATATAATAAATTAACTGTGCCTCAGAGCGAGCAGACGAAACACAAAAAAAGCGGTCATTGCTTTCGGAGGTGGATACCTGCTGTTTGGGAACGCAATCATGCAAGACAGTTCTGTGAGACGATTATACAGAAATACTTTGATTACAGACTTTGCTCAGGTATTTAAGAATAACCATAACAACATTTCAGATGCTGTCCCATCGCACAAAGTCACTTGACTTTTTTGATGGGCATGGAGGAACTTTTTTGCAAAATGCGATTCCATCTCCCATTATTCGCATCAACCCTTTTCACACAAGTTAAAAACCACCCACAAGTGAGCATAAAAACTTTTTTGTGAATTAAAAGGATTTTTGTTTTTCGAAATTTGTCATTTTAATCACTTCAAAATGTGCATAAAAATACAGTGATGGAAACATAGCTACTGCTTCAGTCTGTAGTGTTTGCATGGCCTGAATCAACATCCATCAGAGCTTGAGAAAGCTGATACTGTCCAGAGAATAGTGTGCACGTATGTATGTTTATAACTTTAGTTTAAAGCTTTCCTCTAAAGGCTTTTAAAAGCTAAATTGATATTTAACAGGCCACAAGATAAGAGGGTTTGTTCAGATGCAGAACTCATCTGGGGTTTGGTAATGCAGAAGTTAAAACAAACAAAGGCTCTGAAGTGCAGAAGAATTGGCAAATAGAGTTTGTTGATTGCCAATTATCCTGTTTTTATTTTTCTTTCTCCAGGATGTGCGGAGAGTACCAGGCATCGCTCCCTCCATTAAATCATCAGAGAACAGCGAGAAACGGCCTTTCATGTGTTCTTACCCCGGCTGCAGTAAGAGATACTTCAAACTGTCCCACCTGTATACAACATGCTTTCACAACAGAACTCCACCCATCAGCCTCTGCCTGACCAGCTGTTTCTATGGAAACTGATGTTCTATAGGCCTAATCAATGGCGTACAGCACGCACGCACACACACACACACACACACACACGCACGCACGCAGGCACACACTCCTCGAAAAGTAAACATGGGGTCACATAGGTGGCAAAGGTTGTGTACTGTCTCATCTAATCAAAGAAAGAAAAGCCACACCCTGAAGAAGACACTTTACAGTAAACACGAGTCAGTGCAGAACTATTATTATTACTTGGAAAACATTAGAAAATTGGGTAATAGCTTCAAGTGGCATTAAGGTTTACACAAAGTCACATTAATGTTTCATTTGTTAACATTAGGTAGCTATATAATACTGAATATAATGAAAATACTTCTAAAGCATTTGTGAATCTTAGTTATTGTTCATTTCAACATTTACTAATACATTATTACAATTTTGTAAAAAAGTAATATTATTAAATGGACCTGAGCATACTAATGATAACAAAAATGAATAAATTCTGTAACAAATGCATAGCTTGTTGTGAGTTAAAGTTAATTAGAAGACAGAAACTGCATTGTAAATCAAGCGTCTGTTAAATGAATAAATGTAAATGTTCATTGCTGGAAATTTGATATAAAATTAATTTTATTTTTATGACAGAAAACCATGGTGGCCGTAGTCTCGGTTACAATATTACAGTAAAACGGATCAATATGGGATCTGTGTAAGAGGCTGTTGGAGTCTTCCAGTCTTTTTTAATTTCTTTTGAACACACTTGTGTATATCTCGTGTATATCTCTATTTTGGTGGAAATAATGTTACCATAGTAAATTATTTGTAAGGGCCTCCTCTCAGTTGCACAAGAATCACCAGAATTACTAAGAAACATCTGGAGTGAGTAATTTGTGACCTCATGGCATGTACAGTTTTACAGCTAAATCCATGATTTATGACACTCAGAGCATAACAACAAAATAAATGCTCAATTCAAACGGCGCCCCCTTGCGGAGGCTTCATGTTAATGGCAGAGACTACAGTCATGTTCACATATTGTGATTTTCTGTCACACACAGGTGAGAAGCCCTACCAATGTGACTACACAGACTGCGGCCGCAGGTTTTCCAGATCTGACCAACTCAAGAGACACCAGCGCAGACACACAGGTTAGACATGTCTCTCTTCAAAACACTCCAGGACAGAAATATAGCAGTTATGGGGCTTTGAGGTCATTAATATTCTACACTCATAACAGTAAAGGTTCTTTATTCTTTTTTTGGAAACTAAAAATGGCTCTTCTACAGTATGACATCACTGCAAAAAAATCCTTTTGGAACCTTTAATTTTTAAGTAGGCTATATTTACTCTTAAACGTTATATACACTATAAGCACTTAGCATTAAAAGCTTTCAGAATGTAAAACTTTCTCTTCTGGAAAAACAGACCAAAAATCAGTGTTGGCTACTAATTTTCAGGGGAAGTTGCTAAAGGAAGGTCGATTTGTTGCTAAATGATGTTGTGATGTCACTGCGCAACGACGTCATTACGTAATCACCACACAAAATTGTGTCACTACATCAAATCTCAGCAAAAAATTTTTTTTTTTAATGTTATATAAAACATATTTTAATTTTTATATGTTAATTTAGATTTGTTCGTAAAATAATATAATTGCATAATGTAATTTTAAAATATAAATAACTATTTTTACATACAACATTGAATTATTGAACACTTACACATTTTTGAATGATTACACGTTTTTTATTAGCTAGTTAACTAGTAAAACTACACATTCTGAACAATTATAGTTTTAAGCAGTGTGTTAGTAGTCAACATGCTACACTCTAAGAAAAGAATTCACAGGTTTTTACCTGTATTTTAAATTACGCATTGTATTTAGTGTTTTCGGGTTACAGGGTCACAACGGATAATTGATAATGTCCTGGAAAATTACTAGTACCTTTTCCATTTTTTAGATATTTTTCTTACAGTGTACTAACTTATCAACAATCGCAAGTACAAGCTGCTAACAAGGTGTATCATAAATGAACAATTATTAAATTATTATTATTATCAAATCGAATAACCGCAAATAGCAATAACGTAGTTCACGTGATGTTGTGTACTGCTAGGCATCTTTAGTTGCCTCTTTTTGTGTTATTTTGTTGGAAAATGTGTGCCTTTTTATTGTTTGAGTAACTTATCAAAAGTTGCTAAAAGTAGCCAAATAAAATTTAAAAATAGCTTAATTTGTTGCGAGGTGCTTTTGGAAGAAAACGTTGCTAGGGTAGTCTGAAAAGTTGCTAAATTTAGTAACAAAATTGCTAAGTTGGCAACTCTGCCAAAAATATCGGCGACACGTCTTGCACTCAGGGGCGTATCCAAACTATTGTCCAATCAAATACTGTTGAATGAGATTGCCCCACCCACCGCAGCTGTCTCCTGCTTTGCTCCTGTAGGCGTCAAACCCTTTCAGTGTGAGACATGTCAAAGAAAGTTTTCACGCTCAGACCATCTTAAGACCCACACTCGGACTCATACAGGTAAAACAAGTGCGTAAGCCTTTTTTTCTCTCTCCAGACTTCTCAAAAACCATTTATTGTATATGCATTGATTTGATTACAGCGCACCAATAAAATGTGTTTGTGTGTTTCCTCTCTGGTGGTTCTCAGGTGAGAAGCCGTTTGCGTGCCGCTGGCCCAGCTGTCAGAAGAAGTTCGCCCGCTCAGATGAGCTGGTCAGACATCACAGTATGCATCAGAGAAACATGAGCAAACTCCAGGCTGCTGTTTGAGACACTGTACATGCACTGTATATATAAACACACACACATTGAAACACTCTCAACAGTTAAGACCTGTCAGTCAGTGAACTGCACTGCCGATCTGATAACATGAATCATAGCATCCCTATAAGAGAGAAAATGGTGCGAATGCATATATAAATATGGAGTTTTATTGAAGTTTGCCTTATTGTATTTGACATGGAACACTGCCATTTGCTGAACAATGTGTCTGCATCATTTTGGGTCATCTCATTTTGTACTTTTTCCATTTGTAATAGTTTTTTTTTTTTTTACATATATGGACAGTTGATTGCACTGGGTATACTTGTTTTTTGTTTAATTGGCAAGATGTGCTGGGTCACTTTCATTTCTTAATTCGGAAAATAAATTGTGGATGAGTGAGAAACGGCTGGTGTAAAAATCATATGCACTGTAATGCCTTTGTATATATTTGTTAAGTGACAAGTCTTTCTTAAAATGCCTTTTATAATAAACTACATTATAAATTCTCAGGAAATGGATTGTTTTACTATACACGTATAAATGTGTGTGTGTTTATAATATGTATGAGACACATATGAGTGTATATATATACACGTGTACATACGAAGATTTTATTTGCAAAAACAGATAACTCAACTGCAACTGATAAAACAAACAACTGCAGTTTGATTGATATTAATTGGAATGTAGGATAAAAAAAAACATGATTTTTGAATCATCAGTTATCCGTTTTTGCAAATGAACTCTTCGTGTGTTGTTGTTGTCTCCGTGTACTGGAAGCTTGTGACACTATAACAAATTCCTTGTATGTGCAAACATACTTGGCAATAAAGCTCTTTCTGATTCTGAAATATAGATTTATGTACATACTGTACACACACATCAGAAATTGTGTAATTTTTCAATGCACAAACTCAAAAAGTTGCATGAAATTGTTAATCAGTAAGAGTCATTATCCTTACAGCCAATAATTGAAAAAAATTGTGTATATATAAAATGTACGATGTTAAATAATATATGTTTAAAAAAGGAACACCTTATTTTTTTAATAAACGAACAACTATTCATTTTATATGAGCAAAAAAGTACACTGGTATTATTTCTCCCAAAGTTTGGTTTGGAGCATTTATTAAAAACTGTGTACAAAAACAAAACTGCATACAAACGTACACCAATGTGAATAGAAGCAAGCAAGACCCCAGAAACCATTCCAGACGAATGTTCGTACTGTTGTCTCCGTGTGGGGTCACATGGAATGCATCTCTATATACAGATCTAATCCTCGTTCTGTTCAGCAAACACTGTATACCGTCATGGTTTGACTTCACTGCACAAAAACGGTTCATGATTGTCCTAAAATGAATGAGCGCTGAACGCATGCATGGATCAGGAAGACGGTCCGGGCTTTCAACGGCCCTCAAGTTTCTATATACAAAAAGACGAAATGCTACTGAATATTTGAACATTTGCATTATTTCTTATTGCCACTATGAAACACAGAATTGTTCAAAGCTTATGGGGTGTGAAACTTTTACTTGTTCTTGCAGAAAAAAAAGAGAAAGAAAAGCAAGAAATCTTCAAGATCAAGGAATAAAAATTAAAATCTTGCTCAGACACACAAATATATACATACACGTACATTCAAGCATCTAGAAATCAAATCGCATTTACGTAACATCAACATTACAAATGACAGCCTAGACTAGACTAAAGTGCGTTATTGCCCAGAAATACTTTGCCATAACAGAAGGGTCTTCTCGTCCTGAGGCAGCAGGTGTTGTCGAGAGGTCAGCGGGAGTGTTGATCGTTTTCAATCACGTATCGGCATCGTAAAATTACGTCGGTCACTCCAATCAAAAGGAACATGGCTTCAGTCATTATAGTTCCCAACATCAACCCTGATTTGCTGGTTAAGCTCCTCCCCTGCAGCAAGCAAGGTCTTTCATTGGTTCGCTCAAGAAAGGAGCTGATTGGTCGAGAGGTTTGGAGGATGGACCCTCTTTGAGGTGTTCCTCACGCAGTCAACTTCATTCGTCCTATAAACGAAGAGAAAAGTGTGATCATTAAATAGCAATCATGACTAATTCATGAAGCTTTTCCAGTTTACAGGAAGTACTGGACTTAAAGCATGTTGTTGCAATGGAAACCACACAAGAGCAACAACAGAAGAAGAATCCTTCATTTAGATTTCACTAACTATCTTACTGCTACTTCTTTCACACTATTTTTAACCATATTTCGAGGTCTAGAAAGTAGACAGTTCAGACACCAGGGGGGTTTAGTTAGTAATTTTGTTACTCATTCCTCATGAGAAACACTCGCTCTGCTGAGAAACCAAGTAAGCTGCATACATGGGTGACATGTATGAAACCGAGTCTCTTTCGCTGTACACTTGTATTTGTGCGCAGCTCTGTTTTGTTTACCGCTGTATTTCTACTGTCCTATAAACACCACCTACTGTCAGAGAGTGAAACTGCATTGGTCTGAAAAAAAAAAAAAAAAAAAAAAAAAAAAAAATCACAAGCGAAAAGCTGACCGAATTTTCATCCTGAACATTCATGTTGGTGTGAACAGGAACATGTTAGCAACATGCTAAGCTAACAATAAAATTAATTAAAAGTCAAGTCTGCGATCGTTCTAAATCAGTCATTTGTGAGCTTCCGTGACCTGTTCAAACATGAATGTTTGAATTATAGAATTCAACTGCACAATTCATTTTATGTTTACACTGAATGTAGATAATTATATACATTGTGAGAAAATACTGGTAAATCTCACCTCACGGTAAGAGTTCGGAAAAGTTTCCGCATACGCAAATGGAACTTGGAACTCCATGCAGCTCCTGTATTACTCTCCATTGAAAATGAATGACTTCCAGTCTTGCTTGACATTAGGTAGTGGAAAAGCGGCTTTATTGTCTTTAGTCACGCCGCATCGCACCGCTCGCATTCGGTACAGACACTGTGTAAGACGCACCCTTAGGACTGGTCCAAAATAGTGCTGGACAATTATTCAATATCAATATGTATCGCGATATAATTTTTTTTCAATAAAGGTGATATGATTTTTAAACATTTCCGATATTTCGATATACATTACCAGTGTTTCCCATACATTTATTTATTTGTGGCATTTGACTTGAATAAACATGAGCACTGCATGTTTCAAAATCATAACACGGCGCGGGTGTTTCATATGAATGTATCTCTGAAGGGAACCGACTGTCTTCAGAAAAGTTTCAATGGCATTTTCATTTTATCTGATAAAGTAGTGTTCATGAGCGGAGCTGCTTTGAGTACAGCCGTTACCGGGGAAACCGCTAGTTCTACCGCTATCACAGCGCCTCCTGCTGGCAGAGAATGAGTTTGCATTTTCAATAAGCCCGTCTCCAGCAACATTTCCAGTTTTTGTTGTTGTTCAATTTTTTTTGTTTTCTGCAGCGTCTCGGAGCACTTTTCATATCCTTTTTTTCTGGCTGAAGCACATTTGTTTCAATCTATAAGAATAATCAGCCTACACTAAAAATCTTACTGTTCAAAAACCTTTGACTGGTAATGCACACACGCTCACGCACGCACACGCTCACACACGCACACGCTCACGCACACACACGCTCACGCACACACACGCTCACGCACACACACACAGCTTCCTGGGGTTAAAGGCGCTGTGTTAGATGGGTGGGCATTGACGAGGTGACACGTGGGGCACCATGCCATGCTGAGCGGTTCATGCCAAGCGAATATTTTTACTATTTAAAATTGCTTTCTATTTTGAATAGATTTTAAAATGTAATTTATTCCTGTGATCATACATAGGTAAATTTTCAGCATCATTACGCCAGTCTTCAGGGTCACATGATCCTTCAGAAATCATTCTAATATGCTGATTTGCTGATTATCAATATTTAAAACAGTTGAGAACATTTTTTTTCAGGATTCTTTGATGAATAGAAAGATCCAAAGATCGGCATTTATCTGAAATAAAAAGCTTTTGTAACACTATACACGATTCCATTCAGTATAATTTTTTATTATTTTTTGGGAAAGAAATTATAGAAATTAATACTTATTTAGCAAGGATGCTTAAAATTGATCAAAAGTGATGATTAAGGCATTTATGTTACAAAAATAGTAAATTTCTATTTCAGATAAATAGTGTTCATATCGATATCGGAATTATATCGTATCGACCGAAATTAAGAAATATATCGTGATATAAATTTTGGCCATATCGCCCAGCCCTAGTCCAAAAATATGTTTTTTTTTTTGTTTAATGCTATTTAAGCATAAGAAACAACATTGATGGGGCAGTTCAGTTTAGTTGCTGATTTGAAATATTATTTAAATTTGAGTGTGGCAAGCAGTTTTTGAGATTTCAGGATTTCTTCATTTAAGTAGATAGACTTTGCTCTTGGATACCCAAGAGGCATTGCCCTTTTAAAGAAAGTCAGTTCACTCTGCAGCCATATTTGCAGTGTTTCTGGTCATATGACCAAAAGTGCAAATCCTAATGGTTGGCCAGTTTTCTTCGCAGTGTGATGGAAAAGAGATTAGAACATCTCTCAGTGAAAAATGTTGTTTATATTAGTCTGAACAAATGCATTAACAGTAGTTCATTCATATTCTTTATTGCACTGAACTTTTTGCACCGAATGTGTCGTCTTGTATTAGAAAATAGCTCACTAGATTTTAGAACAGAGCTACTGTAATCAGTATTGAACTCATTTACCCTCACATAACAACAATGAAATCACATTTGTCACAAAAATAAACATTATTCTGTCACCACCACAGTGCAGCCCAGCCAATCAAAAGCAGAGCTGAAGGTGAAGATATAAAACACCAACATTTTCACCACTCTCTCTTTCACACACACTTAACACAGACAAACAGTGAATACAGTGCACAGTTGCAAAAGTCACAAGACAACGGATATAAATCAATTGGACAAATACAGTAAGCTTGTACAAGGCCAAACAAAACTAAGACACAACAAAACAGCAGCTGATCTCAATTTACACACACGCTCACACACACACACACGCTCACACGCTCACACACGCTCACACACGCTCACGCACGCACACGCTCACGCACACACACGCTCACGCACACACACGCTCACGCACACACACGCTCACGCACACACACGCTCACGCACACACACGCTCACGCACACACACGCTCACGCACACACACGCTCACGCACACACACGCTCACGCACACACACGCTCACGCACACACACGCTCACGCACACACACACAGCTTCCTGGGGTTAAAGGCGCTGTGTTAGATGGGTGGGCATTGACGAGGTGACACGTAGGGCACCATGCCATGCTGAGCAGTTCATGCCAAGCAACCAACCACATAAAACCCCACCTACCTGCCCACCGTCCCCAACCAATGGGCTGCTTCTGTCTACCTGTCTATCTGGAAACCAACCAATTACAGCGTCACAATGCAAAGAAAGAACAGACGTCCCCTTCACATAGCGTGACCGGTCAGATGCTATGATTATCAAGGCTGTTATTATGAGATCAATGTATTATTATATCAGATTATTTACAGAGTCTTATATAAGCAGGTATTTCTGCGTCATGTGACCATTGGTTGTTTCTCTGTCTGCTCACCTGTGGACAGCTGACTGTGGGACCTCCGCCGGGTTGTGGAGGTTTTAGAGTTGGAGGAGAGGGTTGAACCTGCACTGCTGGCCCTTGAGATGGGGAGCGGCACAGGGGTCACGGGAGGAGAGTCCAGCTACGTGAGAAAAATATTATTTTGAAAATTTTGTCCTGCATTTATAGAACCCTATGAAAAGTTTAATTTTTTTCCCCAAATTACTTTTTTTTCTTTTTCGTTATACAATTTATTAAAAGTTTATAATCAAATTTATTTTATTTTCCCCAAATTCCATTTTATTTCTCCCAAATTATGTTTTCCATTAAATTTGAATAATTAATCTGTAATAATCAAAAAGCATGTTTCATTTTAAAACGTGCAAATCACATTATAAAACATGAACAGGAGCTGAAGAAAAGGAATAATGAGTGTATTGATTAGTGTATTATTGAATGAGGCCACTGCGATCTAAAAGATATTATTGATCTTAGACATGCACAATGAGGATGTGTGTGTTTGTGATGGTGTACCTCCACGCTCTCATGAGTTGGAGAGGAGGATGTTGAGGAGTTCTCCGCTTGGCGGCGTGAGGAAGACGAGGGCCCGATCTCAACAGTCCGAACACGCTGAGCGAACTTCAGAGAGCAAACCGACTCACTGACGTTACTCTCTAGAGGAGACACCTGAGATACAAAGAGAAGAAACTCAGGTTATCTCAGAATCTCATCGGAGGGAATAATAAACTGCAAACAAAACTAACATGATGTAGGTAGAAAAGTCTGTAAACTTGTGATGGGAATCAAAAGGAATTAAAGTACTGTGGTTCCAATTCAGAAACCACTTAGTTATTGATTCCATTAATGATTAAATCTCGGTCTCTCACACACACACACACACACACACACACACACACACACACACACACCAAAAAAAACAATGAAGGTGTGTTTATGTCAGAATCACTGTAATTACGAGAATCTGACTCTGATAAAGCATTCACATCCTTGTAATTACAACTTGTAAAATTTTCCAAATGATCAAGACTTTGAGGCGTTATGTGGAAACACTCAAAATGGCAGTGAAAAACACTCAAAATTCAGCAGTATTCAACAGTATTTCTGTTCGATAAAACCTATATTTAGTTACAGTCAATGCCTTATAATACAAAATTAAGACATACGTTAGACCCACTATACAGTTTAATGTAGCGAGCACAGAATTGAAATACTAATGTCCCACTAAAAAATATATACATTTATTAATAAAGCATTTGCATGACTATTACTTCTTGTATTGTGGTTTTGTCTACGGATTGCTCAAATGAAATAGATTAATTTTGGAGTTAACAGTGTTACCGTAGACACATAGAATTCGGAGTAGAACATCCCAGGTTGTCATCTAGTAATTATGGTAATAACGGCATGTCGTGAGTTTTTCAGCTACTGGTAAATTGTGCATAAAATGAACAGGCACATTTATTGGGAAATTAAATGTGTTTTGATTTCATTTCACCTTTAATACAACAGACTTTTTGATTCCATTAGTCCACAACAAAGTTCTTTAGCATAAGAGGTGATTTCTGTGGCGATTAGCATAAAACAACAGGAGAGCGTGTGCACAAACTGCTTAAAATACCTGGTCTGCTCGTGCTGTACCAAGTACAGTCTTTATCCCTAAATCCATTCCAATCCACTCAAAATGTGTCGAGGTTTAAAGTAAGCCGCTCTCCATTATAACCCTGCTGACCCAGTGATCCAGAGAGCACTCACACACCTGCACCATCATGAGGGTCTTGCTGTCTCCGCTGAGCGAGTCCTGCAGCAGGTACGTGAGGCGGGAGTTCCTGAAGGGCACGTGCGAGTGTTTGGAGCGCAGGGCGTTGATGACGTCGCCCAGCGCAGACAGTGATTTGTTGATACACTGAGCCTCGCGCAGACGGCTGCCCTCGGCGCCGGATTTGGCAATCCGCTCGGAACCAGCCAGATCCACCAGATTGAGTTTACCTGCAAAAATGAGGACAAAAAGTGAAGGTTTCATATTTGCATTTGAATGATTTACTGTTTAAACGAACATGGTGTGTACCTGAGGTGCGGTGGCCCGTGGAAGAGTTGAAACCTGCCACTGTGACAATAAGGAGGGCATGAGAGCGAGAGCTGTGCTCGTTTAGATTAGTGCACGCTGTCGCCCTGTTCATGTGACCCAGGTCAAACACCTGCAGGGTCAAAGGTCAGCGATTACAAACAATGAATTAAACTGAAATGGGTTGATGCTCGTCTATATGACAGACCTGGCATCAGAACACTGATTATTGAACACATCTACTTTCACTAAATAACTTCAAAAGTGTCACTATTTTACAGTGCCTGTGTTATACTATAATTGTCATTGTTATACTATAGAAATAACAGTAAATTATGCATAATTACAAGCAACTAACCTTAAACCAAACCCTAATCCCATAGTAAGTACATGTTGCTAATTAATATTACTCTGTATTTAATTGTATAATTACACTGTAACAAGGACACCTTAACCCTGTAATATCTGAAATAATAACAAAAATATAATTTTTAAAAAATGTTTGAAAGGAAACACTTTCTCAAAAGCCTGATGTATCATGTTTGATACTCACGTTTTAATATGATTTTTGATAATATAATGAAGTTATGCTTACTATACATTTACTTTATAAAAATCATTAAGCCTGAAGGTACACATACTAAAATGCCTTTTATAATATATCAGATGAAGGCATATAGTAGATTGTGTACAACAGATTTTTCAGCAAGGTTTTGATAATTTAGAGGCCTTAGAAATTTGCATATCCAATATGACAACACATTTAAAATATGAAGTATACTTTTAAGTAGTAAAAATTTACTTTTTTCACAGTTTTCAGAGCAATGAAAATAATACAATAGCAATTTACTATAATAAGACAAACTGACCTAACAAGGAAACTTTTTTTTTTTTGCTTTTTCCATTAAAATTTAATCTAAGGTGGTGATAATCGTTCATGAAGCTGGCTCTAAAGTGTGAAGTGACGACAGGTAGCATAACTCTGGTTGGATGCTGTGAGCTTCACCTTGTTAATGTCCTCCACGCTCTCCACGGTGAACTCTGTGAGTCCTGGCACGTACAGCTGTCCACTGCCGTCTGGACACATCTTTATATCCAGCTTCTCATTCGGATTGTCGCCCAACAGGTTCCTGTTGGAATCGGATAAAGACAAATTAATTCATTTTATCTGTTGACATTAAGGAATGCACAAAACTTAAAGGGGTCATATGATGCTATTTCAAGTTTTCCTTTTTCTTTGGAGTGTTACAAGCTGTTCGTTCATAGATGAGATTCCTAAAGTTGCAAAGACTAAAAGTCTCAAACCCAAAGAGATATTCTTTATAAAAGTTGAGACTCGTCCAAGCCCTCCTAAAACGCCTCGTTCAAACACGCCCCCACATGTCTACGTCACTATGTGGGAAGATTTGCATAACACCTCTCAAATGTTCACGCAAAGAAAGAAGGCGTAACTTTGATTCTCGCTGTAGTATTGTTGCTGCGGCCGCCGCTGCTATGTCGTGGAGACGCTGTGCGTTTCGTTATGAAAGTGAAACTTTGTTTGGCCTTCCAAAAGAGGACACGACTAGAAATCAGTGGTTAAGTTGTATTTACAACACTGTTCCAGAACAGTTCAACGTAAAAAGACAGTATAAGTCATTATAATCCGTAATTATGTCCCCACTGGATGCAACAAATGCCTCGTTTGTAATGGGTTTTAATGTTTTTGTCTCGTCGCTCTGGCCGGGACACGGCATCACAGTATGGTGAGGGGCGTTACATTTCTGTCACACAGTTTAGGTATTCGGCCAATCACAACGCACGAGATATCTGGCCAATCAGAGCACACATCGCTTTTCAGACCGATGAGCTTTGTAAAAATCGACGCGTTTCAGAAAGGCGGGGCATAGAGGAGAAACAATAATGTACAGTATGTGGAAAATGTGTTTTTTGAACCTTAAACCGCATAAACACATTGCATTACACCAAATACACAAAATAATGTTCTTTTTAGCAACATCATATGACCCCTTTAAAGTGGGGCACAGATGAACATTTCGCAGGCAAGCCGAATCAGAACCTATGCGCATCTGTTTGAGTTACACGACACGGCGAGCGAATAGACAGTGCAGGGGGAAATGCGTGACATGTGATCTGTTTGTGTCTTGCAGATGGCCCGAGAGATTTTAAATTTAATCTGTTTTTACATAACTGCTGACCGGCAGAATCTGTGGCAGGTCACACACACTTCACTGTGAACACATTGGGACAATTATATAAAGGAGTGCTAAATATGCACCATGCAGCTCTACTTGTGTCTGTTTTTCTCACCGAAGGGTCTCATTGTAGATTTCCACCATGCTGACGGTGATCTTGTAGTCCCAGTCAGGCTTTTTCTCCGACACTTCAGAGAAGAGCAGCCGCAGAGCACGCTGGTTAATGCCAGGGTCTTCAGGGACACCCTGCATGAAACACAGACATGAGAGACTGACACGAAAATTACATAACCAACATGTTGTGACTTATAATCAACAAATGGCTGATATTAAAATTCTACGCTGTTTTTAAGTAAATAAAATTGGTTTAAATGTAAGTAACGCAACAATGTTTAACAGTATGAATAATTGATATTCATTGAGATTTTTTTGTACTGTTACAGTGTTAAAATGACTAATAAAATATGGTTTTAATATAATATTACAATTTTATATAAAGCAGCATAAATATGTCAATACAACAAAAACCTTAAAAAAATATTAAATAATTATATTCTATTATAATATTAAATATTAATTAACGTACAAACATGCACTATATAAATAGTTTAAATATATTTTATAATATTGATATAAATATGAATTAATAAGTACATGTAATGCATAACAAATGATACCTATTTTTTGATACAAAAATATTGCCACAATGCAAAAAAATCTAAGGTCCTTATGGGCTTGGTTTTCTTTTAGGACAATATAGTTATTTCTTTTTTTAGTTCGAGGGTGAAATTTGGGAACATGTGATATACCTCCATAGTATAGGTCTTTCCAGAGCCAGTCTGCCCATAGGCAAAGATGCATACGTTAAAGCCATCAATACAGGAAGTGACCAGAGACTGCACTTCCTGGAACACCTGTCCAATCACAAGAAAGATATAATAACAAGACTGTGATATAATAACTGATACAGGAAATACAACCATATTTGAAAACTAGTTCAGGCACTAACCTCCTCCTGAGTGGCCTGAGTGGGAAAGACTTTGTCAAGTTCAAAGGTCATGAGCTTGCCCTTATTAGACAAGTACAGAACAGCATCATCATCAGGGTCAAAGGTCACTATGTTTTTGGTGTCAGCAGCATCTGTTTCTCCAGCACATACGGGACGTACTCGGCACAACACACGAATGTTTCCTGAAAAACAAGATCTTTATCATTAGAATGTCTAATTTCATAGAATCCAACTACATGATATGAATCAAACTACACAATTCCCAGAGATCTCTGCGGTCTCACCTTTGAGGCGCACCAGTTCATTGTGGCATTTCTTCCTCAGGTTCATCTCCCGCTTGTATTTGCGCAGCAGCTCTTGGTTTGCACTGCTCACCTCTCCAATCACCTGACAGATCTGTAATCACAGACGGACACGACTGATGAGCTGCGGTCAGGCTGATGTGTCTGTGAGCTCGTATGTGCTGTTCTCACCTCCTGCTTCGCCTCGGTGATGGCTTTCTCCAGCATGTAAGGGAAGTCCTGCACCTGTCTCTTCAGACAGTTGTAATCACAGGTGAGAGTTCTCAGGGCCGGCTGCAGTGTCAGGAGGTTCATCCGCACACCTGTTGTACAACAATCAAAAGAGAAATAATAAACTATATAAAATGAAAAATTTACAAACATATAAACTGAAGCCTTTTTTTTAGAAACATGAATAGTTTGGAAACACTTTAGTATAGGGACCAATTCTCACTATTAACTAGTTGCTTATTAGTATGCCTATTATTAACCTATTGGCAGTTTATTAGTGCTTATAAAGCACATATTCTACATCCCTAATCCGACACAATACCTAAACTTAACAACTACCTAACTATTAATAAGCAGCAAATTAGGAGTTTATTGAGGCAAGTCATAGTTAATAGTTTGTTAATAGTGAGAATTGGACCTTAAAATAGTGTGACCATTTTTTTTTGTATTGTGACATTATTTTGTATGATAATTCAGTAAATTTTTTTTATTGTCAGATTTAAAAAAAATTACATTTCCAATATTCCCAACATTGTCTCTCGTCAGCGTGAAGAATCCAGGTTTTTACCCAAATGAGCACACCTTTGGACTAAAAGCCCTGAGGAAGTTTTTTCTCAGTGGATGCATAAGGGGCTTATATTTCATAAAGGCATGGACTCTGACAGATATATACAACAAAACAAAGGTCAAATTTTATCTCAATTTGTCTTTGACCTTTCTAATGAAGTATAGTTTGTCGAGATAAAAAAAAAAAAAGAGACTTACTCAGTAAAAAAGAAAAAATCTATCCATCCATCCATCCATAAATTGTGGCTTCACCACATTAACAGGTAAAAGAAAAAAAGGCAACAAAAAACTATAAAGTTTTTTTTTAAATTAGATTATTTAGTAAAAAATAATATTACACTAATACAGTTGTACAATATTAAAATGAATAATAAATTATGACATAATAACAATTTTTATATAAAGCAATACAAAAGACAGTACAAATAGCACTATGATAAGCCAAATACTTCAGTTTAAGTATATTTCCTGGTTGTTTTACTTCAAGGTGTCCTTGTTTCAATTTAATTACACAAATAAGTATTGAGAAATATTAATTAACAACATGTACAATTATAGGATTTGGTTTATGGCTAATTGCTTGTAATTGTGCATAATTTACTGTTATTACTATGTGAAATATGTGTTTAACAAGAACACATTTTTTTTGCATCAAAGTAATACGAATATGAGAGAAAAACATGAAAATCCTAATGGGTTTTGTTTTGTTTAAGAACAATATAATTACTTAGGCCTATTTTTATTTTGACTTAAGGGTGAAACATGACCTGGACTCAAACACACATGGTCTCACCTGCTAGGTTCTCATGGACGGCCTTCATCTCGCTCTCTGCTCTGATGAAAGCTTCCTCGATCACTCTGTTCTTCTCCTCCTCCAGACTCTGCATCTCTGCCTCCAGCTGACCCTGAGCTCTCTCCATCTCATCCTCATACACCAGGATCTAACACACACACACACACACACACACACACACAGTAGTCAACACATCTGACCCCAAGGTCAACAAAATCCCGTGTCACTGAGCTCATAAGTTCTATGCAAATAGCAAATGTCTTAAAGGAGGAATTACATAAGGTAATATAAAGGAGCTTTTACAATGACAGATTAAATCGCCAACACACTGTATGATTTGTTGGTTGTACTCAACTGTATCAAGATCACTGTCAGTGTAAACGCCTTTCTACAGACACGGATTTGATCTTATTCAGATGTCATTAGAAAACCAGTTATCCAAACATCTCAAAAGGCAAAATATACAATCAAACAGTCCTCAATTGTAACCCTGTTCAGACTGGACTGTGGTTACAGTGTTTACTTCAAATTACTACAGTAGCATTACAGAACCAAGAATTTCTATATAAAGTATAAATCCGTTTATTTTACAAATTTTATTAAGTTCAGATATTATCATTTAAATAATTTATAATTTTATGTAAGATATTTGTGAAGCTAAAGCAATGTGTAAATATCAATTTCACTGCTGCAATTGTTATGCATGCATTATCTACACAACCAGTCAAACATCTGATATCTGCGATATCATATATCAGTGTTATATTGGTCATTATACTTCCAAATATATAAAAAAAAAAACATATCAGCTGACCACTACTTTCCACTTTAATGCTAAATCATCACAACACAGTTTAACACATCACAGACGAGCACAGAGATATCCCGAGTTCCACCTTATTTTAATAAAATAGCTTTACTTCTGACCAACATAACACAAACCCAGTCATGACTACTAACCAGAGTCATTAGATAGACTGATCTAATGCAGTTAGTTAAGTGAAAAAAGACCTGTGGGTGGGTGGAGGGCTGTTGGTCACACATGGGAAGTGCATCTGGGGTCACGCACCATCAATACATATGAAGTACACAACGGGGGTGACTGACTATTTCACAGTAAGTTACATGGGATTTCTACTGCAGGTAGAATGAAGTGTAACTCTGAAGGGAATGTGAGCTAGTTACTCTGCAAAGTTTCACAGGTCAAAAATGAGCATGAGCCAACATGAATCTACATTTTTGAATGGCACTTAAAATGGGACAAAGACACAGAAGTCTGCTCACAGTATACCGCTTCCTATAATCACAGTTGGAATCTGACCCATGACACATTTTTGAACTTTGACACCTGCAGAGTAATCTGGCCGACCTTGGAGAGCCTGTGGGTGACCTCGGTGTTACCCCCACCCACCGCCTTGAAAAGCAGGCCATACAGACGGCCGTGGTCCGTCCTCAGCTGCAACGCAAGTGAAGAGAGAGAGAGCCGTTAACCTGCTCTGTCACAACACCGATATCACGAGAGGCCTGAAACTAGACCACGATGCAGAAAACACAGACAGAATCATGGAGTCCAGTCATAAAACATGGAATTGACAGTATAATGTGGAATGTTGGATGAATAAATCAAAATAATCAATCAAATAACCTTATGGATTAGTGTCTCGGAAGAGGTTAAAGTACAAAAAGACTGCTATGTAAATATGAAGTCTGCATGTTCTGGGTTGAATTCTGTGCGAATGAGTGGCACAGTTTCATCTACTAAACATACTGAATCATGTGTGATGCTTATGGAGTTTTCAGCATCTGCCATTTTACTATACGAGGACATGAGCACACAAACTTCATCTCCAGAGCTGCTCTGAGAGTCACTTCACCAGCATTTCACCTGATAAAAACCATCAGCAGATCCTCAAAAAACTCAAAGGTCTTCACTACAACCAGCCAAAATAAGTGTTAGGTTTAACTTAATAACCAAGTTATGACAGAAATATATTACTGCTGTACAGTAGAATGTACTTCTCAAAGTAATAATAATATGGTTTGTTAATGTTTTGAAGGAATATCACACAATATAAGCATTTTTCATTCATGTTTTAAGCAAAAAACTGTGCAGCACTTCCTGTGCCAAAAAATGATTTTATTCAAATTTCATTCAATTTGATTATGTAAGATTAATTAAATTATCTTTATGCATTCATTTGATAACCACCATTTTTGATAAACGTGTATCAAATAAAACACACATTTTAGAAAAATGAACAGATTACTGAAAAATAATTTCAAGTAATACTGTTAACATTTTAATTAAATATTAAATTGTTAAAGTCCTTTTTATTCATTTAAATGTAATTAAAATCCAGCCAATTTAAAATTGAAACACAATTTGGGGGGAAAAATACGAAGGATTTCATAGGATTCTATTAAACTTACACCAAACCACTTGGCCTTTGAGAAGACATGAGATCAGATATCAACAGACCACCACTGACGGGGTCAGATCTGAGCAGCATTTGGCCACATGATAATTCAGACACTCAAAACAGCGCACGCAGGAAGTGAGTGTGATACCTGCTGGCGGAGCTGACTGCTGGTTCTCTGGGACTCGTGCAGCTGCTGCTCCAGCTCTCTGAGGAGCTGCCTCTGAACACTCAGCTGCTCCTGCAGCGCCTGATTACGGCCCTGAGCCTCCATTAAAGCCTGCTTACACTGGGCCGACTCCACTTCAACCGTCTTGGTCACATACTGCAGGAAGAGTGAGAAACAGATTAAATCACTTTAGTTAGGAGAAGTGCATCTTGTTTTTGGTCAGAGGCAGAGAATCAATATATTCGGTGCACTCCTAATAGCGAGCACCATGTGACTTCTCAGGGTATTTGGTATTGTAAATGTGAAGAGAGTATGCGTAGTCTGAAGTGGTAATAAAGGTGACTACACAATATACTGTACACAAGGAAAAAATGGAAATAATGCCAGACACTATGTTTGCTATTCTGGGGCCAATTTGTGAATCTTCTCTTAATTAGAATAAATGTCTATCGCTTTATTTACAATACCAGTCAAAAATATGGAATAATTAAGATTAAATTTTTTTAAAGACGTCTCTTTTGCTCAAAAAGTTTGGATATTTTATGATCAAAAATATTATAAAAATAGTAAACTGGACACGATTCCAACATTTAATGTTTGGCTGAGTGAGTTGGTGAGCATTACATATAGAGAAATTATTTATTTGGAAAAACCTGAATTAGACTCGTACCTTTTTGTATTATTTTTATTTATTTAAAATACAACGTTTTAGGTTATCACCGCTATGATCTTTTGATTTAACTGCCTTATATTACTTTTTTTAGGAACAATTTAAAAAATATTTATTTTGTCTACTTTAAATTTGCTATACTATTGTTTTCTTTAAGTTTTTGCTTTATTTAAAAAAAATCTACATTTTAAAAATGTGTAAACTAATTTAAAAAAATGCAAGGAAGACACATTTTCTGCAAGAAGACTCTATAATAGAACTTCAAGATTGCATTTTAATAAAACATTTCAAATCTCATTTAAAAAATCTCAATATAACCAATATTTTGAAGCCTGTATTCTTTGGAGGTCATATCTGTTAGCCATATACATCATTGGGATGTATCATTTAAGAAAAATAACCATTCCAAAGCACAGTAAGAAAGAAATTACAGTAATTTGCGGCTCATGAGGAATAACAGTCATTTATATATTGTAGCTTACGTTTCTTAAATGAGACATCCGCAATGACATCAGCAGCTGACAAATGCAACCTCCGGACAGAGCAGGCTTTGAAATGAGACACAACTAATGCTTCATTAGCACACTCTCACCTTGACCTGTGGTGTCAGAGCAGCCTGGCGAGACAGAGCCTCCTCAGCATCACGAAGCCGTGAGGTCAGCTGCTCCTCTCTCTGGCTCCTGAGACGTGACGCCTCTTCCAGCTGCTGCTGGAGTTCCTGTCTGTGCTGCGCCGCCTCCTCCAGCTGCTGCTGCAGCTGAACTACTACACCCGTCCTCTCCTGCACCTGCTGCTCCAGCGCAGCCAGTCGCCGCTCCCGCTCGCGGCACTCCTCGTCCTTACGACACAGCTCTCCGCGCAGGGCCTCCACATCCTGGGACAGATGCAGACACAGAGAGGAGCATTACAGGACAGCTGTGAAACACTACAACATTTATAGCATCAAGTAATTATGATCTCAGTCCAGAAACAAGCTATCTGAGTGTATTTGAGGTTTAAGTGATTTATGGTTGTGTGAGTACCTGGCTGTGTGGGCAGTGGCCAGTAGAGCAGGTGGTCTGGGTCTGACTGGCCCTCAGCTCTTGTTTGAGCCGCTGGTTCTCACTCTCCAGCACCTCGAGCTGTTTCTCCAGATCTGTCGCCCCCTAGACACACACATATACATTTACTTAGCTAAATGAGGACTTGCTATTGACTTCTAATAGTTTTGTATACTAACTATAATTACTATCGGCAAATTCTAACCTAAAGCCTCTCCATATCCCATAAATCTTTATACTGGGGGGAAAACATTAATAATAATAAAAAAAAGATTTGAAAGAATTTTCAATGTGTGAATACATTTGGATCAGTTAATATGAGCAAATGTTCATTACAGTAATGACACCCATAGTAAAAATATGTGCACTGCATATGCATTTTGAGTCATTGAGTAAGATTTTTAATGTTTTTGAAAAAGTATCTTATGCTCAAGAACGCCGCATTTACTTGATCCAAAATACCGTAAAATTGTAAAATATTTCTATTTGACTATTTTAAAATGTAATTTATTTCTGAAACATTTTATCATCAATGTTGAAAACGGATTTTGCCGCTTTACATTTTTGTGGAAACAGTGATCCATTTTTTCAGGATTCTTTAAGGAATAGAAAGTTAAAAACCGCATTTATTTGAAATGTCGTTACATTGAAAATGTCTTTACTGTCACATTTGAGCAACTTAATGCATCCTTGTTTTTTTTTTTTTTTTAATGTGAAAGTAATTATTTGAACCAAAAGAGGGTGAGGTTTTATTATATTTAGCTTTCTTTGGGGGACAAAGTTGTAAAGTACAGTTAAGTACACTCACAACCATCTCAAATTTGAGATCAGTGCCAACTGTAAATCTTCCAGGGCTGAAGGCATACATTCCCCTCTGCTATCGACAAAACAAAACTAGATCACCAGGTTAACACTCCCTCCCCTCCCATTATAAAACGAAATCAGGTCAGTGTAAACCTGCAGGAGCATGAGCTCTTTATTAAACAATAGAAATGTGGTTCACACAAGTGTGGTGACTTTAGCCCACCAGGATCAGGTGATTCATACAATAGCACCGAGTGTGCCACAACTCTCCCCGTCCCTAATAATTCAGTCTCTCACCAGCTCAGAGCGCAGTCTCTCCACCTCCTGCGTCTGATCCACTAGTTTCTCCTCCAGCTCCTTGACCTGCAAAACCACAAACCAACAGCATTATTCAGCCAAATCCCTTTACAAAAATGAGTCAGTGAGTTTCATGCATCCACCCTCATGATGCATCGATCTATTTTAATCTAACCAGACAGAAACAATGAATATCAATGCATAAAAGGTCACAATACATGGTGGCTGAGGAATGTAAATGATCTGGTGGTGCTCTTGTGAGTCTGGCTGGAAAACTGATCCCTATTCTCTCCGTGTGCGTGTGTGTGTATGTTCAACGTACCTGTGTGTGCAGCCCTGTAATGAGAGCGAGTTTTTCTCCCTCGTCTTTTTGCAGTTGCTCCTGTGAGTGAACTTTACTCACTTGTACAGCACTGGGAAAATCCACAGGCTTCTGTCTCAAAACACTAGAGCTCCTCACACCTACAAAAACACACACACATACACACTTTATGACAAGCAAGCAGCTTTTTCTAATTTTAGGTCACAAGACAAGTAATAAATATATTTGATATTATTAATGAAATATAGGAAAAATAAACAAAATGTAAAGAAATATAAATTTTATAATTAAAATAACATATTTGTATTAATAATGTTTGTAATTATGTAACGTTTCTACAATCGGAAAAGCACGTCCAACTTGCTTTTTTTTTTTTTAAAAGGAAAAAAAAAAAAAATTTACTCAACCTACTCATTTAATTTTAAACCCATATGACTTTTATTCCACCATACAAGCAGCTTTTTTCTAATTTTCTCACAAGACAAGAATTTAAAATATCAGAAATATAATAGTTAATAATAATAAGGTAACACTATTTTAAGGTGTCCTTGTTGCACATGTACTTACTATTATAATAACAACAATTGTGCAGAATTACATGCAAGTAACCCTAAGCCAAACTCTAATCCTAACCCTAACCATATAGTAAGTACATGTAGTTAATTAATATTACTCAGTACTTAAAGGTATAATTACACATAGAGATGCACCGATTGCAATTTTCTTGGCCTATTCCGATTTCTCGTTAGTGTGATCTGTCGATACCGATTTTTGCCGATTCCGATTTCTTTCTAAGAACTATAATTGACAGCATATACAAACAAAAATCTACTTTTTTTCAACGCAAAGTTTTATTTTCATAAAAAACACAAGTAAAAAGTCAGTAATAAAATAAGAACAAATTAAAAAAAAAGGCAAACAACAGCACAAATAAATGCAATAGAATAAAGAGAGCTATGAAACTAAGTTTTTCAGGTTAAGTAAGTTTTTATTCAGGTAAGAAATACTACAGAAATTAATCAATGTAGAATAACATCCAGTGTTATTTTACATTTGATTACTTTAATTTCTGTAGTCTTCAATGTAAAAATTAAATACAGATTAATGCTTACCATTAAAGTTATAAAACGTATTCAGTCAAGAGCAGAAAATGATTTTCTTTGTCTTTTGTTCTTTGATTAACATGACAGACAGCAGCATAAATATTGGACTGCGGTCCCTTTAAGAGTTTATCCACGGGC